CTCATTGCTGGAAATGATAGTGTGATGGCTACTTAGTGAAGGGCTGGCAATAAGACTAGTTGGTGTGTCATCATTCATAATGGGACTGTATAATATGTGTGGTGTGTCATCATATGAGCAGCTCGGCTCCGGAGATACAGGTTTTCTTCGTATGCAGCCACCACCAAGACTCAAGCGATGCCGACAAACGGAGCAAGAATTCACATTTATGCTATTGTCAAAGGCACACCATATGTTCCTACTGGCTTCAATCGCTTTTTTTGCGGCCTGAATCGACGTAACACCTTGTCTCCTTTTGATAGTTGAAATTGCGGTAAAACAATTGACACAAATGTTAGTGGAATACGACTGTTCATCTTCGTCCCTCACATCAATCCCATAAATCAAGAGAATATCTCCTGCTATTGTCTTACATAATCGGGGCTTTCTGTACTTTTTTCTTTGTTTGACAGTTAAATTTAAACGCCCACAGACCCGACAAAGTTCATTCACACACTGTCTATGGCTCTCAAATGTGTGATCCATTGCAGTTGAACAATTTTTTTTATTAGAAACACAATTTACTAACCGATCGCCAGTCTCTGCAAAGTGCTGGAAAAACAAAATTTACACCATTAGAAAATATGATTTGATGACTATCACATCGCGCAAACAGAAATGAACATCATCGTTTCATTTTGGAATGATTTGTAATTAAGTTTGAAGAAATCACATTCTTAACGGCACTTTCGATCACTTTGCACTCACGATTTAAAACTCATATTATTCCCAAACGAATAAATGAAAACTGGTGAAACTTTCACAAGATACCAAGAAGACGTAGAAGAAGCGAAATTGGCGAAGAAATAGTTTCTGGGGGTTGAGTGAGTATCATTTTATGGCTCTTGAAATTAGGGAAAGACACGCGTTCTGTTACGGTTACGATAGCATATCGCAGTGCGCGTGCTGACCCCGGTCAACCCCTGACCCCAAGGGTGTAATTGCAGGTTACCTGTCACTGATTTATGGCCTAACGTGGGAGGCCGAGGCAAACTAAAAGATCGCTGAGGCGGAATACTGGACGCCGTGTTCTGATGTGGTTTAAGGAGGCAAGGAGAAAGTCGGTGCCAAAACCCCTGTTCGTGGGTACTTGTGGAAAGGGCAACTACCCGTGAATAATATGTGCAGCTGGATCAGTCCACAAATGCTTAATTTCCTTGCATTTTTGATTTAACAGGGATCGGATATAACAGGACATTTTCTCTACTCCCACCATCCCTGTTATATCAGGTTTCCACAGTAATGTCAATCTGTTTTCAAAACCAATGATCACCGTTTTGTGGTTCTTTTTCTTTTTTTGTGTGTGTTTTGCTTCTGTAAATGTCATAATACATGTTTTACTTTTATTGATGTTAACAACACTGGCCGCTTAGTACCGATTACAACTACATGCATAAAATGACAGTATTTTGTTCTCAATGCCCTTGCATAACATAGAAGAAAACATAACATGTGTTTTATTATCTCTCGTACATGCTTAATTTAAGACTCTGTAATGATGGTGATTTGTGACCCAACTATAATATTCAGAACCAAATCATTAGAATTTAAGCACGTTATTTTGTACCCTGCTTTTTGAGCTCTCTCTTTATTTGTTATTGTTATTATATTATGCATGTCGCTATGTCGTACTGATGGTTGGGGCAGAGTATGGGGGCGCTCGGACTCGGCTAGGTGAAAAAGGGGGCGGTGGGCGAAAAAAAGTTTGAAAACCACTGTGATAGATGGTCAGGGAAACAAAAGCACCAATGAAATCACAGTTCGATGTGATCCCATCTGATGCAGCCTTGTTATTGGCCCTGCCTACAGAATCACGCCTTGCTGTAGTTCGATGTTTAAAGAAATCAAAGGCGTCGAAAAGTTCACACCTGGGAGTGATCCTTTCATTGTAAGGCCCCTACACCTGAGGCGAACATTGTAGCCTACCACTCGTCGAGTAATTTAGAACGGAGATGTGATCGTATGTATGTATACGAGAGTGGATGATCCAAGAAGTTGGTTTTTTTTGTTCAGTAAAACATGATCTAAAATGCGAGAACTTCAGACCCCAGACTTAGGTAATAAAATTTGTTGTTTTTGGGCGGTTGTTTCACTTTTTTTTCTTCTTCTATAAACAACGGAATCTTAAGTGAACTGGGATCGTAAACGATGGGATCTCAGGTGAAGACTACTATGATAGATTAAACCGGGTAAAGTACTATCCAAGACAGAAGAATATCTTCTGTTTTGGGTACTATTAAAGGAGACTCGAACTCTTTCCATCCACCCCACCCCCCCTTCCTTCATCTTTCTTTAACAGAGAAGTTATTTGCCGTTGTTGTTAAGCAGGTACTGGATTTTAAAAAAAATATTGGAACCGCTAGGACATCGAGCTATATTTTGACATCAGTAATAGTATGATAAATGGGTTTTAAAACATAAAATAAGTCTTCTTTCTGAATTTCCTAATCTCAAGGACCTCAGAATAAAACCCTCTTTCTTATCTAGATTCCAGTGCGAGAGTCGGGCAGCGCCCAACCCAGGTTGACCATGGTTCCGTTGCGAGAGAGGGCCTCAGGCGTGCGTTGCCGCCCACAGAGCAGCCTCCGTTGTATAAAAATCCTTGCATTTTCCCCAGCTTGCCTTCGCCAGGCCAGGGCCGCGGCGGCACGGCAAAAATTGCCACAAAATGGAATCGGGCTCATTTGGAATCGTAGGCTAGAGGAAAAACGTACGATCTTTGCTGGATCTATTATTCTATTCGACGTCGATTACTACGAAATACAAGATCAAAATGGCGCTGTTGAAACAAAAGCAATGGACAGTGTGTGATTAACTTTCAGTTTTTATTATATTGCGTTTTATTGGGATAACATCTATAAAAACCAGGCTGTGAGTAACGACATATGCTTATGTTTCCTTCTGTAAATCATAATGTTTGGGGGCCTATCTAAACGTGATCAGGAGTCTAGATCTAATAGATTTATTACATGATGTGTTGTGCAAAATTTCTCCTAAACTCTAAAACTCTAAACAAGGCCATGGTTACCATTTTTTTAGATCATCTAGAAAATCTGATATCTAAATATCTAAATCTAATTCTAGATCTAGATCTAGATCTAGATCTAGATGTAGTAGAGATCTAATCATTGTCATGTGCAACTTTTGATCATCTAGATCTAGATTCTACACTAAAAACAAAGGTTATTAAATATTTTGATGAACTGAAGACTGAAGAAGTGAAGCGATCGCTAGCTTGACATCTAGATTCTAGATATATCTTAGAGATCTAATCTAGATATCTAGATCTAGATCTAGATTCTAGATCTAGATTCTAGATCTAGATCTAGAGCTGGAAGTTGAAAGCCATTCGCCTCCACCTGGCCAGCTGTGTGTTGTTTTTGTATTGCCACATGAAATGAATAGCGGCCAAGACTCTAGATCTTGATCTAGATCTAGATATCTAGATCTAGCCTGCTATCATGTTTTCATAATAAAATTAGGCTAACTAATTTAATGTTGTAGATCTATACATAAGATCTAGATTTAGATCTAGAGATCTAGATCTCTAGAGGCTAATAAAGTAATTAAGGCCGGCTCTATTTCTCAGAACGCTCGGGATAATAAACTTGAAAGCTATTTCTCCAAAGGTAGTGTCAATTGCCTCAGAGTGATGCGGTGGCAGCTGACAAAAATTGCCACGGAGTAAATTGGAGCTCTTTTGCATTTGTGCGTAGATCTAGTTTATTGTGCTCGAGTGCTCAGTGTTGTGCGTTCGCCTCTGTGTGTGTGTGTGTGTGTGTGGTGTGTGTGTGTCTTTTCCTGACCCCCGTCCCCTGATTTATGTTCCCCGATATACGTGAATTTCTGAGTTTGTGAGCGTTTGTGACCTTCAAGGCCTTCTTCTAGAATTGCCTGTGTTGGTTCTACAGCAAAGTGTACTAAGGCTAAGGCTAGCCTAGATCTAGTGTACGTCTCATTGAAAACACGCCAAGTTGGTAATACAGTGAGTTGAGAACAAATTGACCCATTGGACACACATTATGTATAAATGCTAAAGATAGTGTTTTTTTCAGACTTGACACCGCTTCATTCGGTGGCAATTGACAAAAAGTCAATTTTTGTCAATTGCCACCGCGCCACTCGGTGGCAATTGACGCTACCTTCTCCAAAAGGTTTCCGTTCTCAAGATATTGTGGTTATTTACGAATCATGAATGGAGTGGCGCGTGCGTGCGTGTATTAGAAGTGTGAACGAGGGGGGGGGGGTGTGTGATTTAGTTTTTGCTTATTTAGGGGTGACTAAATGAATTTATGCGAAAGGAAAAAGGTTACTGCCAAAGTCAAGCTGTCTTATCTATAAATTGTCTTGTTTTCTCGCAGTAGGGTAGGCCTACCTTTTGAAGGCATTTTCAAATGAAGTAGGCTCTAATCTAGTCCGGGAACTTAGGCCCAACCACAATTGGAGTATGAATTCAGATCTAAAAATCTCTAGCTCTAGAAATTGAATTCGATGCAAAAATGCTTCTTCCCAGTCCTTGCAGAGTGGCAGAATGAAAGAAAGATGAAGCCGAACTCTCACAAATCTAAAAAAAATCTTGAGAAACCATAAGGATAAATAGAGGTCAAGTTCATTTATAATAATAATAATTGCATTTATATAGCGCATGATATCCATGCTCAAGAGCATGCTCTATGCGCTTTACAACTATTATTACCCCAGCAGACCCTCTGAGAACACTCAGAAACATTCTCAGCTTCCGAGGAAGCATACAGTGCAAGCTGCGGATTTCACGCGCTCAAACACTATCAAACTGACAAGATCTTTCCCTGTCTATAGCTGGGTACCCATTTCCACCTGGATGAAGTGAGGAAAATTTGTGCAAAGTGCCTTTCCCAAGGACACAACGTCGGGCCCCTGACAAGATTCGAACCCACGGCCTTATGGTTCCGAATCTGAGAGCCTAACCACTAGGCCACCGCAGGGTTGGTGATTTTTTTTATTTTTAGAAATAAAAATTTAAAAAATCGATTTTTGAAATTTAAATCAGATTTTTTAAATTTAAATCAGATTTTTTTTTTTTTTTTTTAATGTCGACGCAGTTTGGGATTTTTGGTGGCTAAAAGTAAGTTCTTTTAGTGCAAAATGAATTGTCTTTATTTTCTAATGATTAATTTAAGCAACTTCAAAAGAAAGCCTTATTCTGCTATATCAGTGAATTATGGCTACAGACAAAAAATGAAGAAAATGTCAGTCTAAAAGGAAGGGGGGAGGGGGGGGGTTAATTATGCATAGTTAAACTTGCATTTTATTACAGAGCGTGTGTGTGTGTGTGTGTGTGTGTGTGCCCGCTTGTGTGTGTCTAAAAAGAAAATGAAAATGCTAATTTCAAGTATGAAAAACAAGTAAATTGAATACTATATTATTTTACAGTTACAGTGACAGGGGGGAAAGTAGACTTTTAAGTATGATTATATTAGTCTACTAAACCTTATCTGTTTTATAAAACCAAGGAAAGGAATTCTGAAGGTTTAAGTTTAAAGACGTAAAAACAGAATACATTTTTTAAAAAGTGATTTAAATCACTGAGTTCTATTCTTAAAATCAAGTTGATTTAAATGAAAAAAAATCAACGGATTTAAATCGATCTTATTTAAATAAGGAAAAAAAAGTAAATTGAATACTTTGTTATTTTACAGTGACAGGGGTGAAAGCAGACTTTTAATCATGATTATATTAGTCTACTAAACCTTATATATCTGTTTAATAAAACCAAGGAAAGGAATTCTGAATGTTTAAATATGTAAAAACTGAATACATTTGTTAAAAAGTGATTTAAATCACTGATCAACTGATTTAAATCAACCCAACCCTGGGCCACCGACAACACATTTTCCCGAACGTTGAGAGAAACAGTCACTTCGTATTAATGTAGGCTACACCTTTCAGCCTGGGAGTAATCGAAAGACCAAAAGTAAACTGTAAAGTCACCTGCTTGCCCATTTTATAAATCTTGATAAGCCACTCATTAAGCTCTAGAATAGTAGTAAAATTTTACAATTCAAGGAGCTGGGGACCTAACCAATAAATAAAGAAAAATTAATTATGTATGCCAAGAATGCTACTAAAGGGGAACCAAAGCCAATTATCAAGATTTGACTAACACCAGAGATCCCTTCAGAACAGTAAGAAGTAAGATCCAGGTCTGATCCAAAAGTATATGCACACAAAAGTCAAACAGTTAGTTTTAGTCCGATTCTGTGTGAATTGGCCAGTTTAGAATAGAATTAAACGTCTGAATGATGAAAACTTCTGCTTGTTTTTCTGAAAAACCTGCAAGATGTGCAGCAAAATATAAAATCAAGATATATAATACATTTCAATAAAATAATCTTAAAGGTGTCATTCTACTGCCTCTCTTCATTAAATAAAGTTCTTTCAATGTCACTAAGTAGGCCTACTGAGTGGGACTGCTGTGATTTGCCATATTTGAAACAGGTCACGGGCAAGTCCTATTCCCGACCACATCTTCCCCACCAAACGCTCGTTTTTAAAAATAGGCTACTATTTTGAAAATAATTACAAACTTCAGTCGAGATCCAAGACCCGGTACAAATTCTTACTTTCACTATGCGCACAGATGGACTGCTTCCGGCATATTTTGCTGCAGATCACTTGTAATATAGCCATTGTAATTTTCGCTTTTTTAGTTATTTTCAAGTAAATTTCAAATGTCAAATGTAACTCTTCAAAACATCCCCCCCCCCCACCCCCCCACCAATCGGTCTAAAACATGGAAGTGACATATAGAGAGAGCGCAAGTTTCAGTAAAAACCATCAAATAATTTTTAAGAACTATTAATTTGCAATGGAAATGAAGTCCATAAAATTTGTGTTCAGAGCATATATAATAGAGACAAGAAAATAAGCATGCATGTGGCATAACTCGAACGCTCTGGAAAATAAACTTGAACTTTATTTCTCCTAACGGTTTCCATTCTTGAGAGTGTGTGTGTGTGTGTGTGTGTGACTAGTGTGAGAGAGAGAGAGAGAGTGGGATTGTGTGTGTGTATGTATGTGTGTGTGAGGGGGGAGGGCGTGGGGACGTTTAGGGATTTTTTGTGATTTAGTTTTTGCTTTAAGGGTGACTAAACCAAATGCAAAATAGGTTACATTTCTACTGCCAGAGTCAAGAAATCGCAGTCCTTTTGAAGGCATTTTCAAATGAAGTAGAGTCCGGGAACGTTGCCTCAACCAGAATTGAAGTATCTGAATATTCAGACTTCTAAAAATCTCTAGCTCTAAAAATTGAATTTGATGCAAAAAAATGCTTCTTCCCAGTCCTCACAGAATAGCACTGGAATGAAAAATGACGCCGAACTCTCGTGTAAATATATTAACCAGAAAATCTCGAAAATGGAAACCGTTAGGAGAAATAGAGATCTAGTTTATTTTCCAGAGCGTACTGAGAAATAGTCACTTCGTATAAAATAATGTATAGAGGCCTAGTTGTTGCTCATTATGGAATTCCTCCTGAAATATGAGGAGTTTATACCGCTGCTTTAGTGCGTTCAAAAATTTGTGACGCAACTTATCCTCAAATATCTTTTGAATGGTTAAAGCAATGTCACCCATTCTTTGCACATCAGTTTTTATTAATAATATATTTTACCACAGAATTGGGGCTAGATATTCGGACCCCCCGGGGCAGTGCCACTGACTGCAGTATCTTTAGGCCATTCCCAAAGGGGTGGGGGGGGGGGACATTTCTCGTTCAAGCATAGTAGAGTTGTAAATGGGCTGACTCATGTCACGCTCATTATAACTCTGCTTGATCTACAACAGGGAACTGCTGCTTTTTCTTTCCTGATCCTTACTATTGTCATTTTCCT